GATCCAGAATATATTGCCACATTGGTCAACATTTACGTAGTTTCTTCCAGAACCTGAGTAATTTGAAATCACTCTAACATCAGCAGTCTTTAAAATACACCATATGCCTTGTGTTTGATGTATGTATCGGATGGAAAGTTTGTGTGTCTGCAGTTGGTAGACCGGCTTCAGCCATGGTTTATCTTTCTTGAAAGCATAGAAATATATTTGTTTCTGCCATACATTAGTTATTTGAATTGAAGTTATTTAAATTGACATTTAATCATCCCTACTATGTGGTAGAGGTATAATGAGAAGGTTTGATGAAGGAACAAAGACAGCAGCTGCATTAAATGAGAAAGCAAATGGCCATTTTACTGATTCTTTTTAACGAATCTCATCTCCGTCATAACTCCTCGTAAGCTGATTGATAAACTCATTAAATCCACACCGTTGGTGTTTCTCAGGAATTCCTGTCTCAAGGATGAGACTTTCTATGCTTTAAAGAAAATGTGTTTTCTACTTTAGGGCAGAACTGGCTAAGTTTGTAGCATCCGTTTTAATTCTTAATATCCCGAGCTCATTTTTGACATTTGGTCTTGTCCAGATCTGGTGCATTTCATCTGTAGTATTTTTAGTCTCTCTCTTTTTTTTCTGTCTGGAAACCAAACAGAGGTTGAAATATCATCATAAATTTTCAGAGAATAGAGCAGTTTCCTGGGTCAGGCTTGGAGTTGCTGGGGGTGTCCATCCACACACCCAGGCAGCTGGGACCATTACTGATTTGATTACAAGCTTCCTCTCTGTAAGCGTCTTCCTGCCTGCTAGTCCATCACTCACAGTTCTCTGAAAGGCAGCCGCTTCCCTCCGTGCTTGGCTCCTGGTCTCCCCATTATGGGTCGTGTCCTCCTCCTCCCTCTGCTGTCCAGTCAGGGGAGAGCTTTTTATGTCTTTATGTTTTAATATATCATTTACATTCGAAAGCGTTTTACTTGACGGTAATGTGAGCCTTGAGACTTCTTTGAGGTGCTTGAAAAATCAAGCTAGAAAGTGGTTACTGAATAGACAGGGATTTTGTTTCTGAATTTATAAAAGATATTTGGTTTGTCACATGAAGGTCTCTCACTTTAAAAGGGAGATTGTGTTCCAGTGACGTGATCGCCTGTGTCCCTCTGTGTAAAATGTTTTATATGTTTGGCTCATTCGCACTTGTTAGTAGGGGTGACACTCTTTAAGAGGTAGATTTGTGTCGGGTCAGAATACTCTGTTTCCAGAGAAGATATGGTGACAGATTGTGAAAGTGGAGACTATGTGTTCTGCTTTCGAGAGAAGGTATGTAAGGAAAAGAGTGCTCAGCTGTCTGGAGCTGTCTGGAGCACAGTGTCTCCCCTTGAACGGCTGTATTTTCTTGAGCATGTTGCCACTCCCGCCTTGAGGCTCATTTCTTAATCAAAAAAAGAGTGTTTTGAACTAGACAGTCTTTAACTCTCTAATTTTACTTGAAGAATGACATCACTGTTGGGTGGAGGAAAGACCAAGGATTTTGGAGCCAGAACGACATGAGTTTGGATCCCAGCTTCTTCCTTTATTGGCTTTGTGACCTTGGGCAAGTCACCTACCTTCTCTGAGCTTAGACTAGTGTCTGAAAAAATGGGAATAATCGTTCTTAACTTCTCTGTGTGTGAGAGAGAAAGGAGCAGAGAGAGAGATGTAGATAAGCTTGCATGTGTGCCAATTCTGGACATAGAAGTAGTAACACGGTAAATGAGTGCATTTTACTACTGCCAAACATCAGAAGCAATTGGGTGGGTGGCTTTTTATTTAAAAAAAAATTTATACCACCGAACTGTACCCTGGACCTACAGAGTCCTAACCTCAGTGTGTTGCATCCAGGCATTTGTATTTTTTTAAGTAGCTCCATTGGTTATTCCAGTGTACAATTGGACTTGCAACCAACATTAGGCTCCAGCCTCTCTGATTTCTTCTAGTTTTAATTCTACAGCATATAAGTTGGGGGAAAGATAAGCTTATAAAACTAAAAAAAAAAAAAATCATTCTCAGTGCTGAGTAACGTTCTTCTTTTGAAGCCTATTTTATAAGCAATAGATTTCTCAGCCTTCCCCACGGTCCATTTCCGTTCCCAAATCCACATTCTTCTGCTTCAGAGGAAGGAGATAGAAGGCAGGACTTGATAGTAAAGATGCTCGTTTTGAGCACAGTCTCCCGACAGCTTTTGCTTATCACACAGATATTTTGTTTTCCAGCTTGTACAAACTGTTTATGACTGCTTTTGTCCTGTCACTAAGTCATGTTGTGACCTGGCTGTAAAGCAATAAATGTCAGAGCCCTGGGGGGCAGGACCAGGTCTGACTCCCGCTCGTGTATCCCTGGAACCTCGAAGGAAGTCTGACACACCGTGAGGCCTCAGTAAATACCAGCTGAATAAATGAAAGTCAATCTGCAGGTCACAACAGAAATTAATCACATAGCTTTGTGATCAGACTTCATAAC